GCGGTGGTCTGGGATGCGGTAGGTGTTCACACCAAATGAAATGTTTCCGTACTTGATGGCTTCCTGTAGCGCGTGCCCTCGCCTTCAGAATCAGCTCAGAAAATTATTTAACATTGAATTGTAAGGGAAGGCTTTTTTCCTATGTGCTTTTTTACCAAAAGAAAACGTTAAACTCTGCTTTTTTTTTTTTTTTTTTTTTTTTTTTTTTTTTTTTTTTTTTTTCCTTTCCCCTCGTAAGAGATCCTGGAGGACTGCAAGGGAAGCGGGCCACCTTAAACCCCACACGGCCTATGCCAAATATAGGAAATATTCCAGATAACTCACAGAACTCTCACCCATTTTTTAACAGTGGCCGGTGATGTTTGTTTAACGCCCTTCAGAGCACAGCATGGATCCTGCTACTTGTAGCTTCAAGAAGGACTGCTGATAGACTTTATCTTGGGGATAAGAACCGTCCAAAACAGAGGGGTTTGTGCCAGGCCCAAGGCTGCAGGGCAGTCGGTCGAAGCAATTTTAGCAAACTCCTCAAATGAATTGGTGCACAGGGCTTTCCCAACATTGTCTTTGACAGAGCTTGCTATGGAGAGAGCTCCTTACCAAGATTTCTGTAAAATGTAACATGTAGATACAAGCAGGTAGAAGTGTTACTATTTTACTTACCGTATGTCCTTCCTGATAGCATGCCAGTGTTGAGCAGAAACCTTTTGAGATACCGTGCAAGAGACTATGAAACCTTGTCCTGGCCTTTTGAAATACTGTGTTCATTCACCAGTGTTTTGACACCCCCCCAGCTTTTCCTTTCCAAATGCAACTCCTTCTGCCTCCTGTTATGTTTGGGGATTCATGAAGCAGTGTTACCACGTCTGAGTTGCAGCCTCTGTGGTTCCTTTTTCCTTTTGCCTTTAAGAGTCTTCCATAAAACTCATAAAAAGACCACAGGTGCACACAGGAGGCAGAGAAGGGCTGAACAAAGTCTTGCTGCAGACCTGATGTGCCTAACCATTCCCATAACCTTCTCTCTCACTGTAAATCAGAAATCCTGTGTTCAGTACGACTGAAATGAGCTCTGTGCTTAATTGCCCTTGTCTCTTGGCTTAGGCTGTTGTCCTGTGTGCCTATCTGGAGATAGGAGGCATTGATCTCAGGAATCAGTCTGTGATTGAGCTGGGAGCTGGAACTGGATTGCTGGGAATAGTGGCCACGTTATTAGGTAAGGGCTTTTTTGTTTGCTTGTTTAAAGCAATTTACAACTGTAGTAAAACTAGCACTTTTACATCTACATGCCTGGTATAGAAGTTAGCACCAAAGCTACATATGTGAACTGTGATGTTTCCTGTCTGAGGCATCTTCCTTTCTTGTTAAGACTTCAGAGCCTGCTGTGTTATTTATTGTAGCAATGGTGTGACTGCAGTTTATTTTATGGTGGGACCCTGTTAAGGCTGACACCTGTAACCACGGTACTCAGCTCAGCAGCATCCAGTCCTGCAGCTATTCTCCCCCAGGGAGCAAGTGCTGTGCTTGCCATCTTCCACTTGTCCTCTTTTGCAGCACAGGTGAAGCTGCAGACAGAATCCACTCTCTGAGCTTGCATAGGCCTTGTTAGGCTATCTTGCACACAGCAAAACCAAGGTCTAGAGAAATGATTTGCCTGTGATCTGTCTGTGGTTGAAGGAGGGACTGGGTACTACATTAAATTTGCGCTAACTGTCCCAGGTTAACTTTTTAATTCAAAGCTCTAGTGGCTGTGGAAGGTACATATTGAAATAATAAAAACAAAGCAGTTTGACAAAACACAATCATGCCATGCAAAATCACACAGGCATAACTTTTGTCTGACCTGTGAAAGAGGCCGTCTAGCTGCCTTTCTGCTACTAACAAATATGGAATTGGAGCAGGTTAATTGTTACAATCCCTGTAACTCGTTCTGTTGTCACCTATGGAAAGGCAGAAAGTAACCCCTCTGCTTTCATGCACTAAGAAAATGATCCAGAAAACTCTTTTTATTCCCTACCCAACTTAATCTTCATGTGGAGTACACTTTATATTTTTAAGTGACTGATGAAGGGTAGGATGTATGTAGATAGTGGGCTTTCTGCTTGTTTTGCCTGTTTGTTTTTAATCAGGCAGCTCAGGGAAGTTGTTAATGTTTAACAGGAACTAAGGAGCCTGCTTGACTTAGAGCATTGTATTCTAAATGCTATGTTTATGGACATCGACTATTTGTCTGAGACATACACTCCTGTACCGCTTAGGTGCTCGTGTTACCATCACAGACAGGGCGGCAGCACTGGAGTTCCTGGAGTCAAATGTACAGGCTAACTTACCCTCTGAACTACGTCCAAGAGCTGTGGTGAAGGAACTGACTTGGGGTAAAGACCTGAGTAGTTTCCCTCCAGGAGCATTTGACTTCATCCTGGGTGCAGACATCGTTTATCTGGAAGAAACTTTTGCAGAACTGCTTCAGACGCTGGAGCACCTGTGCTCAGAGAAATCTGTGATTCTTCTTTCCTGTCGTATCCGCTATGAACGAGATCACAAATTCTTGAAGATGCTGAGAGGCCGTTTCTCTGTATATGAGGTCCACTATGATTCCAGTAAGGATGTTCATATCTACAAAGCACAGAGGGGTAGTCGCAAGGATGACTTTTGACTTTATGCTTTGTTAGTAACCACCAATGCTGTTCAATGCTCCCCTTGTTTCTGCTCAATATACTTGTTCCTAAGCATATAATTGCAGTGGTGTTATTTCACTGGCTTCTTGTTCTGGTGGTGTTGTCCTATCACTTGGTCTGATACAGCAAGGACTATACTTCTGTTCTGCATATTGAACCTCTACTTCATTTCTCAGTAGAGTTGTGTAGGGTCTTCCACTGATTTTTTATCAAATGTAATTTTTGAAACTTATTTAAGTTGCAGAAATCTCCAGGCATGAAAAATGTCATAAAAAGACCTTTGTTTAAAATCAAATCACACTTAATTTTTATGGGAAACTCAGATTACTGTGGGTTTTTTTTCCCCCCTATCACTTCCTTAACTCCAGAAAAGTAAAAATATATGAAATATAATCTAAGACTCCAGTTCTAAATGCTTTAACTCTTCAGGCCTTCTGCATCTTAAATGTTACGGTAAAAGAGGCCACTTAAAGGGCAAAACCGACAAAAGCAGCTGCTATAAAGTCGTTCTATTGCTGTCATTGCTGAACTGAAAGGCACAAGGGAAACAAAGAACAAGATCTGGGGTGGGGTGGTGGGGGTTGGGAATCAATATTGCAGAGTCAGCCAACTTAGAAATTGGTGGTGTGTTACCTGACTTGCAAGCGTGGAGGCTATGCCTGCAGTACCGAAGCAATTGTGGTTCTTGGGTTGTCCCTAATAAGGTAACTTTCTGTGCACAGATTGAGGCTCCTTGAAGCAGACACACTTGCACATATGCCAGCAGGGAAAGTAAAACAAGAAGATTGAAACTGTTCTTTAAGTATCAAATCAGTCCTTGACTCTCAAAGTACCGCCTCCGTGTCTGAGAGGAGGGTGCTGCTGTGAAGGCTTTGTAGCCAGGAGAGTCCTTATTCTTGTATTACTTGGGACCTTGGGGTAGTGCCTAGATTTCAGTGTGCTTTCTGTGCACAGTGGTAGTTAGATGTTGTTCTAAGTAAATGATTTCATACCTTGAGCTTAAAAAAAAAAATGCTTCTGTGTGTTCATCCCAAAAGATCCTATGTGAAAAATGGTGCAGCCTGGAATCCAGCTTGCACCAGCAGCGCGCTTCCTTCTCTTTCTAGCGGTGGAAGAATGAAACTGGTAAAACAATGGGCTAACAGAAGACGGCTACACTTCTAAATGCAAGAATTGCCATAGTGCTTTTTTTGGTGGATGCGGAACTATTTTTTTTCTTTAAACTAAATTACAAAGCCCCAGGTCAGGGTCAAGCTTTAAGCGTGTGCATGTCTTTGGCACTGGTAACAGCAAACACGAGCAGCTGCTTCAGGACATGGACGTTAGGAGCATTTCATCACTACTGCTTCCATCAAACTTTTTCTGTGGTCCAGAAGTGGTGTGCAGACTGTAATCTGGAAATGACACATTTATCATTACAGCTCCCATGAATGAGGCCTGAAGGTTTTGTGCTTCATCCCTGGCGTGTCTCTCGTGTGTTTTCATCTAAGTTCCTTGCTCAGCTCTGGACTTGGCCTGAGAGTTGCTGCTCTAAAACACTTGCTTACAACAGTATCCTCAGGAGCCACATGGTGTCACTAAAACAGTACTTACGCAGCTGGCTGGGACTTTGCAGTCTGAAACGAGAGTTGAAGTCCCTTTCGGGGAAGTTAGACAGCACCTTTAATTAAAACGAGAACATGACAGGAGCTTTAATGTACCAGACACGGCTCTTTCTGTCCTATCAACTGGGTAAGCAACTATTGAAAAAAATTATGAGCTCCCCTCACTCTTTCTCTGCCTCTGGTTTTCAGAGTGTGGCTGTAAGTTCTCACCACTCCTCTTCCTTTTCCTCCCCAGTGGTGTTTTCCCTCTCTCCGAGCTTGTCTGTGGTCACTGTATGTTAGGCTCCCTCCGGGCTGGAGCTGGCAGAAAGCAGCGTGCTGGTGCTTGTGCTTGTAAGTGCATGTGACTTGGTCCATGGGGAAAGCCTGCTATACCTGGCTGTGCTCCACCTTCGCAAAAGGCTGCAGCTTGCAATACTGAGAGCCTTAGCAGCTGTTGCTGCAGTAGGAACATGCTTAGAAAGCCTGCTTAAATAGCACAGAATAAAGCCCAGTGTAGTACAGAATAAAGCCTAGTGCAGCAACCTACACTCTGTTAAGAAGGGGGCTTTGCTCCAGGCCTTGGTTTGATAATAGCACAAGTTTTATACTTTTAAAAACAGCTTAATTGCATGTCTTTCTAATTGTTTAGCAGCTTTCAGCATGTTTTCCCATTGCTCCTGTTACAGCCCGTAGGCCTCCTGTGAGAGCAGGCATGTGCCAGAAGAGACCAGGCCTTGCTTCTTTTGCTGTGTTGCAGTTGCACAGCAGATGTATGCAAATCCAAGGGAGTATGTTTGAAGGCTGAAGCAATGCTACTGCCCATAAGTAAATACTTGTGGAAAAAAGTGTAAGACGACACTGGCAGCTCAGGTGAGTGCCTTGCCCCTCACCTGCAGAGCTGAACTCTTGGTAGCCCCTCCCCAGCTCAGCAAGTTGCACCCCCTCAAGGGGACACCTTCTCCTCTGACTGCTACTGGGGTATGGGTGTTCCTTCAGGTTCAGAAGACCAGACACCCAGGAATATTGCGGTTAGGCCACCACCACAAGCACATTAGTTCTGGTTGCTTTTTAAGCTACAGTGTTTAGGGGCACCAACCATGAGAATGTAACTCAGCTGAAACCTACAGCCCATTCCCACTAGGCAGTGCTAACACTCACCTGCACCAGGCAGTGAGCAGTGCCATCTGTTGTCTCAGGTGGAGCTTTGCAGCTTTTTTGAATTCCCATCGCACTTAGCTTCAGGGAGATGTCAGGAGTGACATTGCCAGACATTCAGGACAGAAGCAGCAAAGGCGTAATTGCCCGGTGAGTGAGCACAGAGAGAGCAGCCTTCGTGATGACACCCGCAAACTTTGGTGTCCCGACTGGTTGGTTCCAGGTGAGCTTCTGCTCTAGTGAGATGATGTGTGGTAATGCTTCAGTGGCTGTTTGACAATTATACTAACACCCTGCCCAAGCACCTTCTGTCACCTTGTTCATCCCAGCACTAGACAAGTCAGTGTGAACTCTCCTTTGGGTGATTCCATTGCATTGGTCCTGTTTTGTAACAGATGATGTGCACTCATCTGTAGGAGGATGTGTTTGGGCATTGTCCCTGAGTAGTGGGGCAATGCATAAATATTCTCTTGAGAAATAAAATACTCACCCTAGGGAGAGGATCCAAGTCACAGGGAAGTGACCAAATAAGACATGAACATGCTGTGAGATTGTGAAACCATCCCTGAAACATGGCATTCTGCAAGGGAACAAAGTTTTCTAAAATGTCATTGCAACTAAAGTCATGTTTGATTAATATTAAGACACACAGTATGAAATTCAGCTCTGTATCTCATGGACAATGAACTTCAAGGTGCAGCAGTGTCGGAAGAAGCAGGTTTACCAGCTGACCTACTGACCGCACAGGGATCTGTGTTACCCAATTCTTTTCAGTGTGAAATTCAAGCCAAACTGCATTTTTCTCTCATGGACTAACCCTGTTTGGGGTTCTCCTTCATTACCGAGATGTAGATTTTTCTGAGCAAGTTCGTGAATGGCATTATGAAAACAGTTGTGAAAACCACAAAATCCCAGTTGTAATGAGCCGACCTTACTGCTTCCCCTTGATTTCACTGGAGGTGTGTTTACTTCAGTGCTGAATTTGTTCTTCTGGCTTTCATCCCAGTGTTTGGATCCAGCCTTGCAGATTACATAATCGGGTTGTGATCCTTGTAGGGTTTGCTGCCTTCTGTTCTGCTCTGTTATTAACATCAGTAGTACATGGTTTACAGGAATGCTTAGAAGCGAGAAAGACAGCATATTTAAACTGTGAAAGGGAAAAGTCTTTCATACATTATTAAACAATGCAACTAATTGGCACCGGAATGGATACTAGAAAGCAGGTTTAAAAATACCAGACGTGGAAGAGAAACTTTGTTTTTCAGGACTTTACTTCTCATTCATCTAATTCAATTTAATTAAGATTAAAAAAGTCTTCCCTTTGGGGAAAATATCTCATGAATACTTACAGCAGGCCACAGATCATTGGAGGACACTATAGTCTGCTTAAAATATGCCTTTTCCCATAATCCTATCTAGCTACCATTTGCCACTAAATTAGTGTAGATGGAACATCCTGCTCAAAAAAGAGACTCTATAAGAGTTTTTTAAAGCATGTTTATGTGACTGCACATAAATGTTTGTGTAAAAAGGGAATTATGACAGTTTATACCACAAAGGTTACAGTAAGAAAAAGCACTTCTTTATGACAATAATTCACAAATTCACAAGAATCACTTTAATATACAAAGCAATTACTACCATTCTGAAACACAAAGCAGCTAATATGTACATAGTGTTAATAAAATGCATTATAACCCAGTACAATTTTTTTTAAAACACAGATAAAGCACAAAAAAATAAGTAAAAAAAAAGAAACAAACCCAAAACACAACAGGGATGTTTCTAGATTTTCGGGGAGATGTAAATAAGAATTTATTTTCCCCCAATAATGGACTTTCATTTTCTCTTTTAACTTCCACAAGTATGTGGGAGTCCAGCTCAAATACCCTCTCCTGTGCTGACATGGTTTGGGTAAAGAATCAGAAATGCAGATGAGGTGAACTTACTCTTTCCAGCTTACATTACAAAGGGAGAATAATAACTGTTGCTCTGGAATCTTCCCTGAAAAACATTGTTCCAAAACAATTTCAAATTACAAATCCAGAGTAGAAACAACTCATTTTTGAAGTGAACAACCAATCTGTGGACAAGTCTGTGGAGGGGTTGGCTGCCAACTAGCACCTCTTCTTGCCCTGTTCCTCCATCCCATCAAGTCCATATAAGCAGCACAGTTTCAAATCTCATACAAACGCAAAGTTCTAGAACTTTTTAAAATTAATGTTTTAATATAAATAAATGTAATTACACACAAAAAAATATGGGAGTGGCACCTGGATAAAACACAACTTGTGGAGAGCATCTGAACATCCTTAGTTCTTAAGACTGTCCATTTCCAGATAACTGGCTCAAGGCCTTCCTTCCCCGTGCTCTCTCTCAGCTATCCCCTAATTTAGAGAAATACATAGGTGAGGCTGAGACTGAGTGAACCAACTGCTCCCAAGTCATGAGTACAGTAAGTGGTCAGCTTATGAAGTGTGCCAACCATGGATCGTTGCAGCCTGTCCCTGCCCCTTTCCCTGCCAGCACACAGCTCCCGAGGACAGCTGACTTCTCCCGCCTCTCGCTGGTGAAAGTGAGACCTGAACTCACCACTCAGACAGCAAGTCACAAACTGCACTTGCAGTACCAGAACACAAACAATTCACTGTCTTCAATTTGTGCTACATAAACTAGCCCAAGCAAGTCTCTTTGTAGGCCAGGGCTCAAATACATTTAAAAAACACATTCCAAGGTGAAACACTTGAAATGCAAATCCTCTTTACAACTGGATCTGGTCCCTTTTCCCCAAAGATGTAACAAATTTAAGCCATATCCATCCACAGACCTGAACCTGTCACAAGCACACAGTAGATAGGATTTCAGCACCCTGTTTTTCTTAATCAGTCTGGCTCCTCCCAGACCAACTGAGCTTCATGATACATTCAGGTTTCTGCAAAATCAGTGTCTTTCACAGCTAGCAAATTCAAAAGCTCAGGGAAACAAGTTCCCAGGCACAATACAGAGAACCATCAATGTACTGTATGCTTTCAAAACCTGCTCACAGTGACAGATTTCAGGGTTATAGCTAAATTATCATTGTTCCTGCAAAAGAAAGGTGGTTCTGCTTTTTTTTATCTTTTAAAGCAGGGCGACACATTGTCAGTGTACCTTTACTTCCCAGTGTCAAAGAATTGGAAAGCCGTTTGGTTTATTTTCTTGGAATGCAGCTTGTAAAATCTGCGCCAAATCTCAAATTAAGGAAAGGGGAATAAAGTGGCTGAAAAATAGATTAGCTTTCCTTCCAAATTAACTTCCCTTTCCCACTTGGGATCACTGAACTAGTTCTGTTCTAAAAATATTTCACATCCATCCTGTACATACTGCTCTGAGACACCACACACTTAATTCTTTCCAGTCTTCAGTACTGCCAGTTCAGATCTCCTGCCATTTTGAAGTAATGCCTGCTGGACGCCAGGTGCTCATCAGCAAGTTAAATTTGCGAAGGAGTCAACTGCTGTGGGGAGAGGAGTGAATTGCGTGCAGGCAGCAGGATTACAACAGTTGTGACAGGAAGCTTCTCAAGCAAACCAAATTTCTCTTAATTTTGTTTTTTTCTTTTTTTTTTTTAAAAAAAGTGCACATTTTAATTAAACATTTACAAAGAATATAGTGTAACAAAAATAAATACATGACCTTTTGGTTAGATAATTGGCAAACGTTACATCACTAACCAGCTTCAGGGTGAAAAAATGACAATAAAAACACGGTCTTAGAAAACCAATGACATCCTCTATAAATTGTCATAGATTTGCAACCACTGATATTGAACTTGCTTTGATGGGGAGACGTGTCTTTACTTTAACTCACAAAAAGCACTGTCTGTCTGTCACAAATTAAAAAAATATAAAATAAAAAAGCAGAGGCCAGTTTTCACTAACAGATGACTACTTGCAGCTGCAGTCTACTGGAAGCCCAGATTTTAAAAAACCCTGTAGTACAAATCCAGATCAGAAACTATCAAGGCTGTTTTTCCTTATTAAATCTTTTTTTTTCCTGAGCCTCTTAATGATTCCAAACACCCCACCAATTTTCTGATCAACGTACAAGTACCAGAGAAGACAGTGGTCTACAATGCAAATGCCAATTACAGAATAGCCAGAACCTACAAGTGTTTGTACAGTCCTGATGAGCATGGCAGGCTAAAATTGTGCTTTCAGATACAAGCAATAGTGCTGGCAACTACCCGATTCTGGTGAAATTGCTGCTTGAGTAAAAATGCATCACCACTACCCCAGGAGGAAAACAGGTCTTACCAGTGGTTCCTTTAGAAAATAACACTTTAACAACCTTTCCAGTTGTTTTGCCTTTGATATATAGCTGCCAAAGAGAAAAAGCACAAAAGTGAATTATTCTGGGGGGTGGTGGTTGTTGTAAAACAACTGTTTACATAATTTCAAAAATCTCCATCAATAAAAACCAAAAACCTCAAAAAACCCATGAAAGATGAAACAAAATTCTTGAAAATGGATAACTGAGAAACAGCACAAAACAAATCAGTAATAAGCGCTAGAATAATGCAGCCCAGAACTACTGGGGCGGGGGAAGCTTTCACACACACGCACACATCCACACACACCCAGACACACACAGAAAAGTAAAAATTTTTTCTGACCTCCATATACTATAATACTCAGCATTCCTGACTTAAAAGCTCTCAGAGCTGTAGATTATATACTGTGTGTATATATATATATATGTACATATATTATACATATGTATTTTCCAAGAATATCTAAATTAAAAGAGCACCTCTGACAATATCTTAACTGCCTGATTGGTGCTGTTGTTTTGCAAAATAATGACATTACAAAAATTATATTTCAAATCAATTCTTGTTTATTATGAACATAATGGATCTAGCCCTTTCTAACCCTCTCTTCAGGTAAAACAGGCTATCAATTCTTGAAAACTCACAACTGTGAGATTTAAAACTAACCCTCCCTCCCCCCTGCCAGCATAATTTCTGTCCTGCATCCAAATGGCCTTAGTTTATAGAAGCTGATTACCCCAACCTCATTACTCGGTAAATAACATATGAATGGATTCCTGTGTCATAGTCTTTCCCTTTTTGGGTCAAAAGAAATAGTAAAGCATGTATGGGTAACCCTAGCCAGCCCTGTACTTGGTCTAATATGTTTTTTATTCTTGTAATTTAAAATTTCCATTAAATAAATTCCAGTCCCTAAATCCTCAGTGCAGCATAAATAAAGATTTTTGCAGATCCCTATGTACTGTAAAATAATATTCTTAGTGAAATATTAGTTGCCAATGAGGTCTAGACTATTGACACTATGGACTACTTGCAGACCACACACAGACAAACCGGTAACACAGTTCTCGTCTCACTGCTGCACAGATTTGCACCAACCCTGTACTAGAAGAACCCCACCCAGGTACCAGTTTAGGCTCCCTGGTCCATTCAGCTCCCAGAATTTGTGCTGAGTGACTATCAGCAAGTGCTGGACGGTGCTCATTACCCACTAGGAACGGCTCTCAGATCACAGCTAGCCTCATTCACGTTCACTGCAAAAACTTAAAATTTTTGCAAACAGATGGTTCTACAAAAGGAATTGCCTTAATGTACGCACGTACAGCCTTTTCTGTGTTTCTCAAAGCTGGAGGAACCATTCCATATAATAGTGTAAATTACGCCATCATGAGCTTCATGTTTTACAAGAATGACTCCTGCATTATCAACATTTCTACTTCAGCACTAGTTCTGAAAAGCTGGTAACCGTTGCATGTATTTGTATTCTCTGACTTTAAGAATCAATTTTTATAAAAGCATTGCTGAGAATTTAGGGTCTTCTTTAAATTTGCATTGTTAAACTAATAAGTTCACCTTCCATTAAATAAAAACAAGAAAATCAATCCTCTATGGAAGATAAAAGTAGACCATTTATAAACACCCTAAAAACTTGTGAAAATGAATTCTTTCATAATTCTGATACTTATGTTCTCTTCTTGAAATACAGTTCTAATTTGAAATTATTAACAACTCTAGAGTTAATACTAATGCTTTAAGTTTAACTTTGCTCCTTTTAAAGTCTCTTGGAAACTGAATGCCCTCTCAAATGAGAAAACTAGAACTTTTAATACTGCTTAGCTGTTTGAGACTCAACTGCCCAGAGTCTTCCAAATGTTCTTCTTATAATGTCACATTGATTGTATAACCTTTTAGAAGCTCATGTTTGAGGTTTATCTTAAAAACAGGTAGAGTGAATGGGAAAAAAAAAAAAGCTAATACTTCACTAGGCAAGACATTAGTACAGACCAGAGTCTTATTCGTATGTCCCTATACATAAAAGTATGACCAGAAGCCCGAAGTAAACTTACTCCATCAAATGACCCAAGTTAATATATCAAGAGACTGGCTTCAGAGGGCCAGTAAACAAACTGCACATGATGCTTTCTGACGCATTCTTTTTGATGACTTCTTGAAATTCTTTTTTGGTTCTTTTTTTGAGCATGAGTCTTTTTAAGTCCTAATGCTTAGTACAGAGTTGTTTTTAAACATGAACTACCTTTTTAACAATGTAAATCTGGGAATGATCACATTTCCTCACTGCACACAAAAACAGTGATCTTGCAAACATCTGAGGCACATGAGTAATTTTACTTACAGGAATAAATTACTCGGTAAATCTGATCCTTTACAAGAAAAAATCCTCTGAATAAATTAAGAATTTAGCTATCCTGGTCAGGTTCAAATAATTAATATTGTCCCTTGTGAAACAGAAGTTGGAATATTTGTGTTTGAAGTCCTCCTCAATATTTGAGGTTGTCTTGGTAGTTGCAGTCATACTGCAATTTAATTTATGTATGAAAGGCAGCCTTAAAGTTTGAAAAAGAATCTAGCAAACCAGGCTGATGTTTCCATTGAGTACAATATTTCCATTATATAAGACAGTGGTAGGGAAACAGAAAGAACCTAATTTCCTGAGGGGACTTGGGACACAGACTATACTGTTATCAGGGAGTATGTATGTGGAGTTGGCCATGCTTCAACCGCTTAGTGGTTCTGCATATAAACAGGTAGTTCTTTCACGTGTTACCCTTGCTTACTATGTGACTGTTTTAAAAATGTCACTATTGTAACCTTTTTTATTCTAAATTCCTTTACCATCCAAATATTATTTCCCAACCAATACCCTATAAAGTTGGTGTTTGGTTTTTGTGCATTCAGAATGCTGAACACATTTGCACACAGAAGCTTTGAGAAGCAACAACTGACCAGTGAAGCTCATTTCAATGCATTTGTTTTGGGGGTATGGAAAAGTTTTTACTAGTCCAGGAGGGCTTAATACAGATTACAAATCAAAACCCCTCCTGGGCTAGTTTGCAAAAGGTTATGTGATCTCCACACCAAAAGCGTGCCTGTAAAGCGCCTTTCATTTGGCATGCCGCTTAGCTGTGTACTTTTACAGTTCATAATGAGTACGCGAAACCAATTTGGCAACCATTGCTTCTTCATTGCACCATGCATGCTCCATGTACATGGCCCATAGTTCTCTGGACCAAGAGGCTGGGGTGGTTCTGTCTCTAAGGCAATGGAAAAGAGCTCAGCACAAATTCTTGAAATCATTACAGAAGGACCCTCTCCACAGTAACTTCCCAAGTGCCCAATGTTACTCCTTGAAGAGGATGGGGAGACGAGAAAGAAGCCTGTTCTTCTTCACGCTGAGATTGATGATGAAAATAATCTTGTAGGGGGAGAAGTGGAGGCAAGTACTTGAACATTCACAGTTTGATGCAAAGCACAGATGAAGTATATTCTGTAGTTGCTTCAGGCAGTTTTGCGCATAGAAAAAAAGAAATGTTTAGAAAATAAAAAGTACTTTGTCTCTCTGGGTATAGCCAGAACCAGTCTCTATCCCACCTAGACAAGTGAAAATGGGAATCCAAAATTAATCTGATTTGTGGCAGTAAAGGTCCTTAAGTGCTTTCAATTCCTCGATCAATGTCTTGTTTTGGTTTTCAAGCACAGCCACGCGATTTTCTAGACATTTCACATACTCCTTTTTCTTCCTGCGACATTCACGTGCTGCCTCTCTGCAAAGCAAAAAAGGCCATTCAAATCCAGAATGATCACTGGCAGATATAAGCTACTAACCTGTTCAGGTCAAACGTTCACCTAGTACTGCCATTTTTAGAACATGGAGGTATTGTTAAGAAATGCAAGTTAGGAAAAAACGCGGAGTTCATAACAACC